CATTTATGATATTTTAGATTCTTTTGACTTTGTCCATGGCCAAGGGTTGATCATGGCTTGGATTAGGCTTATGAAAGGTTTAGGTTTAATTTATAATATTTGGGATTCAATGTAAAAGTGTAAGATTACTAAGTTGACCAAAGTTTCAAGTAAATAGCGTTTAGGATATAAAAAAGGCATTTTAAGAAATGATTAGCCAAACTTTGTCAACCAAGATTTACCCAATGTCTTGCGTGAGTCAAACCAATTACCTAAGAAACCTAAGGTGGCTTGATTCAACTCCAAGGTCCAGGGTTCAAGTTTTGGTTTAAATGGCACATTGAATGGAACACTCAATGATTATAAGGAATCTTAGGTTTTAACCAAGGTTTAACCCTAGGATTAAACTTATAAAGTTCTTAAAGAATCTAATGCTATTAGGAAGTTATCTAAAGAGTTTATAGGCCATTTAGGTCTAATCAAAACTAAGTCATTGGGTTTTCTCCTATAGGCTAGGTCTACACTAAGTACTAAGGATGGTAAAGGGGAGGGATTTAGAACCTCATTACAAAATGAGATCAACCATGACTACTATCTCTTATAAATAGTTAAAATCATTCATATAAAAGATAGATAACCATGTATATATTCATGTTACAAAGAGTATACTTCCACCATGTACAATGCCCAACATCATAATTTAATTAAATTTGCTTGTTAATTATTTATAAAAAGATTAGTAGTGATAACTTAAATCCAAACATGATTATAAGGCCAGTTGGTTAGTTTGACATGCATGATCAAATTATTTTTATAATTTCTTTTTGTAGGCATCTCCTTATATTTCAATAAGTATAAGCCTTACATTTCTTAATCTACTTGGTAGCTCGCCAGTGTAGGAATCTTTGTCTCTTCCTGACTTGAGATCACAAGGCCTCTCTAGATGACGCAATTCATAGTTATGAATAGAAAATTTCTAGGTGATTTGAAATGACTACCTTCATAACTAAGTGTACCTAAAACTTGTTGTTTTTTCCTTGTTTCCTTTTTTGTTGTTTTATTTTCTTATGCTTACCATTGCAATTGGTAGAATTTCAGCTCATAGGTTTTCTTCAAAGACTATAATTTTAGAGAGCTGGAGGTTATTTCAGAATATGTAATTTTCTTGTGTTTATTGCGTATGCCCCTCGGCGGGTTTTATCAAAAAAAAAAAAAAAATAATAAAACTCTGGTAAGTCATCTTTCAAACTCTGGTAAGTCATCTCTACATTTTTTTTTCTAAATTTATTATAAGGATATGATAACCCCTTTTGAGCCCATTCACCCCTTGGGGATATTCTTTTATTATACTCAAGTGAATTAGAATACAAGTATTAATCTGTTACTAACATCATCTCATATAGGTGCCCAATAGTATAATTAATCTTAGGGATTATTTTCTTTTAGTAGACTTATTGAACAAAATTCTTGTTTAATTTAATTTTTTTAATTAATAAATTTATCTCATGAAATTTTTTATTTATTATCTTATATGAGTATGATAAGATTACCTCATCTAATTTTATTAATTTTTTTTTCTTATCCCTTCTTGCAAAATCTCCTAAAAAAAATAAAAAAAAATCCATTTCATATAATGTGATTTTTCTTGTTGAACATCCTCATTGTGCATTTGGTGGGACAAAGAAGGTAATAAATTAAGATGAAAGTGACTAAGTTTATAGTGTTATGATGATTACTATAGAATGTACAAAGCTTAAATAAAGGCACTACCATGTTGTGAGGGTATTTCAAAGAGATTTAGGCTTCGTTTGGGACGGCTTTCTTACTGTTTCTTAAAACAGCTTTCTAGTACAAAAGTTAAAAATTTTGTACTCAAAAGCTGGTTTAAGAAGCAGCAAAAAAGCCGTCACAAACGAAGCCTTAGTGGAACTTAAGAGATACCTACACATTTTAAGAAGAATCATTGTGGCAATTATTAGATATAGGATATGGTGTTAAAAGCATTGTATCTTAACCCCTTCCTTCTCTTAGTTCTTTATTTTTCAATTGGTGGAAAAGCCTCCAATTAGTAGTAAGTTTTTATTTTGTCTAAGCACCTCAGCCAATAATGAAAGATAATAAAAATTATGTCAGAATTTCCTCATACAAATTATATCAAAACAGGCTTATGAACCATTACATTTACTCAAAGATTTGTACGATACAAATTCTTCAAATATAACACCAATCACAAAGTAAATGTATCAGTTCTCTAATCAACACCTAAGCACATCAAATTTTTACATCTCAATACAATTTATACCAAAACATCCTTAAGAAAATGGGACAGAAAAAGCTTAAAAACCTCATATGAGTATATATTAAGGGTTCGGGACAACTTTTTTTTTGCTTTCTAAAGTAGCATTTTAGTACAAATTTTTTTGGTTCAAATAAGGCTTCATTTGGGATGGCTTTCTTTCTACTTCTTAAAGCAACTTTTTAGAATAAAAATTAAAATTTTTGTACTAAAAGGTATTTTAAGAAGCAGAAAGAAAGCCGTTCTAAACAAAGCCTAAGGCTTCGTTTGGGGCAGTTTTTTTACTGCTTCTTAAAGCTGTTTTAAAGCACAAAAATTAATTTTTTTTTACTAAAAATTTGCTTGAAGATGCAATAAAAAAGTCGTCCCAAACAAAGTTTAAAGTTTTGTATAGAAAGTCGCTTTATAAAGTAGTACAAAAATTATTTCAAAGGAAGCCTAATTATGCTTCATTTTCTTACATCAAATCAACACCTAAGCACATTAATTTCTTTAATGTATCATTACTCCTAAAACTCATTGATTAGAGAACTACTAAATTGGAACATATGGTTTTCTTAGCTTTATTTTTTCCTAAGCCAAGTCAGAGTGCTTACGCACTCAAACGAGAATACAATAGGCGTTTAATTACATCATACACAAACCACCAACAGCGAAGTGGCACTGTGCGGCCTTTCCTTTGTGGAGTGGAATTCATTGAAGCCTACCAAATTTGACAAAAAAACTACTTTAGTATATTTGAAGAACTTTTTTTCAGTGGCAAAAAATGTAAATTTTAATTTTTGATGATTATTTCTATGATTATTATATTATATTTATTTAGATATGAGATATATAAATTAATATATAAAAAATTTCGGTGTTTACTTTCATATATTTTTCAGGTATATATCTAGCTGGTAGTTGACAGGTTGTGACAAAGATTACTGCACCTAATGGGGCCCACAGTGGGGCTCGATCGAGTGTCATCGGTTATATGTAAATCTCCTCCTATTGTTGCTTGATTAGTCTATTTAAGGCTTCGTTTGAGACGTCTTTCTTACTGCTTTTTTAAAGCAATAAGAAAGCCGCCTAAATCCTCTTATTGAAATCTCATTCGAGATATACCGATTCTTTCATTATTTTGTATTAAATATGATTGATTTTTATGCTTAGGAAAAGTTTTTATTTTTGGGAAAATTGCTTAGGAAAAGTTATTTAAGCATTTCATCTAAAATAAAAATTAATTGTTGACATGATAAGAAAATAAAAAAAAGTATTAATGTTTTTAATCTATATAGAAGTTTATTGCATATATAATACTATTCAATTTTGATATCCATGTATTGTAATTAACTTACATGTATAAACACATAGTTGTATCCCTACAATAGCAAATATTTTTACAAAAAATTCTTAATTAATAATATTTTTTCTAAATTAATTTGTTTAAATTATTCAAAATTACATAAATCTCCTCTAATAAATTTTACTAACTAATTTTTTAAATTATCACAAATTAATTTTTCTTATGATTTTTTTAAAATTAGCATTAACTAAAACTTTTAAAAACTATTTACAATAAAATAACACACCACTTAACTTTATTTTTTTTTCAAAGAAATGTAGACATCTTGAACTAAATACCATAAAAAAAATTTATTGAATTATAAATAATAAAAAATAAGAAAAACTAAAAAAATGTCCAATATATATATGTGTAGATGCATAGATCAAAAGTAAATATAACTTTGAAGAAAAAAAATAATTGAAAAAATAAATAAACCTATTCAATGAGAAAAATGGGAATACATTGGACAGAGCAAACCTTTCTATGCCATTTAACCATTAGCATGAAACAATCATCTACTTAACACCATATCCTCCTCCATCCTTGTTTGAAAGCCTATGAGGCTTCCATGGAATAGATAGGGCCATTCCTTGCAAAGAACAAATTGTCTCTAATTCTCTTAATCTCTTTTGCTTTCTTGAAAATAGAATCATTTCCTCCAACTTTCTTAATCACTTTTTTACTAGTGCTAATCATTTATCCCCTTCTAAAAATAGTTCTATGTGGATCATTCATGATTGACTTGAATATGGGACGTTTAAATCTCTTCATTTCACCATTATGCAAGTCTTGTACATGTGAGGAGAGAAGGAAGAAGCGCAAAGAAGTTTGTATTGCTTAGTCGAGCATTTCTATCCTAATTATATAGTTTGTACTTTTATTTTATTCGGTGAAATATAGATGTTTATTGTGTTTTTTTTATCTTCATGTGTGGCTAAACTCTTTTATCTAATTTAATGATAATTCAAGAATCATATTTTGCATAGAGTAGGTTTGTTATATTGTAAATTGTTTAACGCTTTTTCAATTCCTTCATGATGCACTAGATAACTGGGATGACCCGCGGTTATCCCCACACACTCCAACGGTTTGGAGTGTGCCCACTACCTTTTATGCTTTATTTGCTAGTAACACCTTTTTATTTTGGTTTTTTCCTTTTACACAAAAATAGCAACAGAACTTTACAGTTTTACATATAGGTGAAAAGGAGTCTTAGAAGGGAGACAATGTTATCTTTACAAAGCTTTTTACAGGAATACAAGGAGAATACAGAGGTTTTCCTTCATCCCTTTTTCCTCTGATTATTTGCTGTCTAGTGCTCATTTGTTTTTCAGGTAATTCGGTCCTGCAGAAGGCATCACTTAGTATCAGAGCCAACTTATACCTGGAAATAGAATGACGGACAAGGGAAAAGGACCTGCGATAGAGGAGGGTCGGTCGATTGAGGCGTTGTGGGCAAACCAGGAGAATGCCAATCGCCGGATAGAAGAAATCGCCGCCGATGTGCAGCGACTCGCGATTGATATACGCAGGGAGTTTAATCTCCTGCCTACTAGGCCTGTGAACCAAGATCATCTCCGTGAGGAGGCCCGAGCAAATCGGCAGATACCACGGAGGAGAAGAGGCGGTGAACACTTTGGAAGACGGCATCAGTTCAACCGAATGGAACCTTCTGACTCAGAGGAAGAACCCATTCTGGCGCGGGATTTGAATCCACCATACTCTAGCGACGGGGAGGTGGATGATTTCGAAGTCGCAGATCCACCACAAAATAGGCGAGAACCACAAAACCGACAGCAATTTGGGGAGTTCAAGGTGAAAATGGACATTCCATTTTTTGATGGTCATTTGCATATTGAGGATTTCCTTGACTGGGAGAAAGCAGTGGAAAACTTCTTTGATTACATGGATATCGATCCTGATAAGAAGGTTAAATATGTAGCTTGTCGGTTGAAGGCAGGGGCGAGCGCATGGTGGGAACAAACACTGCAATCACGCCACCGAGAGGGCCGTGATCGGATTCGTTCTTGGCCGCGGATGAAGCAACTGATGCGGGCACAGTTCCTTCCCATCGATTTTGAGCAAATCTTATATATGAGGTACCAGCATTGTGCTCAAGGTACCAGGACCGTGAGTGAATGCACGGAAGAATTCCAAAGGTTGAGTGCCAGGAACAATCTATATGAGTCAGCCACGCAGTTGGTAGCTCGGTATGTCGGAGGCCTCAAGGATACTATACAGGATCAATTGGAATTGAATTCCGTTTGGTCGATGCCGCAAGCCATCAATCTGGCCCTGAAGATTGAGGTACAACAAGATCGCAAGCCCAAGACACCGTATTATCGACGACATTGGCAAGAGCCGAATTCCACTGCTAATAAAGCGCCTTCACCATCAGTCGAGAGATCTCCTGCGTCCACAGCAATAAAAACAACTCAGCCCAATCCCTCAGGTGTACCAACCGAAGGAAAAGCCATACAGAAGCCAAAAGGAGCCAGCCCAACTAATCCGTATGCTAAGCCCTCTAACCTTAAGTGCTTTCGTTGTTTCCAGCCCGGGCACAAGTCCAACGAGTGCCCACAACGCCGACAAGTGCATATGGTCGAACTGGAGGGGGAAACGGACTCAGATCATTCAGCCTCTGAAGTGGTAGAGGAAGTCGTTGATGTTCAAGCAGATGAGGGCGATCCTTTTATTGGAGTCATGGGAAAATTATTGCTGGCCCCCCGCCACAGTGGCCGATCTCAACGCCACGCCATCTTTAAGACCAGGTGTACTATCAATGACAAGGTGTGCGACTTACTCATAGATAGCGGCTGCATCGAGAACATTGTATCCAAGACAGTCGTCCAAGGGTTACAATTAAAGACGACCAAGTTCTTACACCCCTACAAGATCAGTTGGGTAAAGAAAGGGATGGACATAGCAGTCACCGATTCTTGTCGCGTGACATTTTCCATTGGGAAGAATTACTCCTGCGAAGTCCTATGTGACGTCCTAGAGATGGACGTATGTCACTTAATTCTGGGAAGGCCTTGGCAGTTCGATGTGTGTGTTCAATATGATGTCAGAGCAAATGTCTATTCCCTCGATTGGAAAGGAAGGAAGTTGCGACTACTACCGGGGCTGACCGAAACACAATCTGGGAACAAGGCCGCTATCCACTTCGTCTCGGGTCGCAGTTTAATTCAAGAGTGGCGAGACCAGGCGCCCATGTTCGCTTTACTCGTCACCGAACCGAACAATCAATTGCAACAGCTTAATGTCACGGCAGATATTGCAGAATTTCTGAAGAGTTATCAAGATGTGACGCCGGATGTTTTGCCCGCCGAACTGCCCCCATTAAGGAGTATACAGCATCAAATTGATCTAATTCCGAGCACCACACTACCCAATCTCCCTCATTACCGCCTAAATCCCAGAGAACAAACCATCCTGCAAGAGTTGGTTGACGAGTTTCTTACAAAGCAACTAATACAAGTGAGCCGCAACCCTTGTGCAGTTCCGGCGTTGCTCTTGCCGAAGAAGGATGGTAGTTGGAGAATGTGTGTTGACAGCCGCGCCATCAACAAAATCACGATTAAGTACCGCTTCCCCATGCCACGGGTTGATGAGCTATTAGACCAACTGACCGGATCAACAATCTTTTCCAAAATCGACCTACGCAGCGGATACCACCATGTTCGGCTTTGACCTGGTGATGAATGGAAAACGGCGTTTAAAACACCTTAGGGACTCTATGAATGGAAGGTAATGCCGTTTGGGTTGTGTAATGCACCTTCAACGTTCATGAGGATCATGAACGAGATACTAAAACCACATTTGGGAAAATTTTGTATCGTCTACTTCGACGATATCTTGGTCTATAGTGTGGACCGACCACTCCACCTTCAACATCTGAAGGTCTTATTCGACATCCTCCGTGAGCAAAAATTATATGTTAACTTGCCCAAATGTGAGCTGGCCACCGCAAGTGTCAACTTTTTGGGATTCATTGTCTCGGGTGGCGTCATCCATGTTGATCCACAGAAGGTTTCTGCTGTTAAGGAGTGGCCACAACCCAAGTCATTCTTTGATATAATATCAGCCGAATGCATGCTCGTTGGCTAGTCTTTTTGCAAAGATTTTCGTTCACTTTGAAGCACAAACCTGGCACTGAGAACCGCATCGCCGATGCTCTAAGCCGGCGGGCTGTATTACTCACAAGGCTGCAAGCCGAGCTTGTGGGTCTAGAGCATGTCAACGAATTGTATGCAGATGATGAGGATTTCGCCGCCATATGGGCTAAGTGCCTACAGTTCTCCCACTATGAGGAGTATTCAATCCGGCAAGAATTTCTTTTCAGGCACCACCTCCTGTGCATTCCGATATCTTCCTGGCGCCAACATTTGATTCGTGAAACCCACTGCGGAGGACTTGCGGCGCACTTGGGACAAGATAATACCCTCCATCAACTACAAGCTCGTTTTTATTGGCCACGCCTTCGGCGTGATACTCTCCGATTTGTGGAAAGCTGTGCCGTCTGCCAAGCATATAAAGGGGGAGCACAAAACAGTGGGTTATACATGCCTCTACCGGTACCGAACTCTATTTGGGAGGACATCATTATGGACTTCGTCTTGGGCTTACCGCGGACTCGGCGAGGCAACGACTCGATCCTCGTGGTGGTTGACAGGTTCTCTAAAATGAGCCATTTTCTTTCTTGCAAAAAGACTTCTAATGCTCTCAATATTGCAACTCTTTTCTTTAACGAAGTCGTTCGTTTACATGGCCTACCAAAGAGCATTACCTCAGTTAGGGACGTCAAATTCATACATCATTTTTGGCGTGAGCTGTGGAAGTGCCTAGGTACTGATCTAAAGTTTAGCTCCGCCTATCATCCCCAATCCGACGGCTAGATGGAAGTCGTAAACAGGACATTAGGCAACATGCTCCGCTGCCTTGTACAGGAACAGCCAAAACAATGGGAAGAAGTGCTTGCCAAGGCGGAATTTGCCTATAACGCGATGCCTAATCGCTCTACCGGAAAGGCCCCGTTTGACATAGTTTACACTAAAGCTCCTAATATTGTTCTTGATCTTTCAATTGTCCCTAAATTTCATTCACAGGCCGCCGTTTCTTTTACTCAAAACTACTCTCAAATGCTTGCTGAAGTTCGCCAGCAAATTATCAAATCAAACACTCGTTACAAAGAGGCCGCAGACGTCCACCGAAGAGAGCGTCTATTCAAGGAAGGAGATCTAGTTATGGTCCGTCTTCGTCGCGAGCGGTTTCCACCAGGAGCTTATTCGAAGCTCGCAAAGAGGAAGATCGGTCCTGTTCCAATTCTTGCCAAAATCAATGATAATGCTTATCGTATTGGATTACCAGCTGACTGCAGCACTTCTTCCACCTTCAATGTAGCTGATATTTCACCGTATAAGCCTGCGAATGACGCCATCGTCTTAATCAGCTCGTCGGAGTCGAGCTCTTCTGAAGCCGGGGAGGACTGATGCACCGAATAACTGGGATGACCCGCGGTTATCCCCACACACTCCAACAGTTTGGAGTGTGCCCACTACCTTTTATGCTTTATTTTCTAGTAACACCTTTTTATTTTGGTTTTTTCCTTTTACACAAAAATAGCAACAGAACTTTACAGTTTTACATATAGGTGAAAAGGAGTCTTAGAAGGGAGACAATGTTATCTTTACAAAGCTTTTTACATGAATACAAGGAGAATACAGAGGTTTTCCTTCATCCCTTTTTCCTCTGATCATTTGCTGTCTAGTGCTCATTTGTTTTTCAGGTAATTCGGTCTTGCAGAAGACATCACTTCAAGCTTCATTTAGTTTAGGTAAAGGTTGTACATAGGGCTGTCAAAATCGGATCGCGAGTCGGGTTCGAGTCCAACTCGAAACTGACCCGATACTATTTGAGCCAACCCGTTTTTGCAAACGGGTTGGTTTTCCGAACCCGAACCCGACCCGCTTCGGGTATGTTCTACTAATTTTTTTTATTTAATTCGATTTACTTAAACCTAAATCAAATTAAGTTAATATTTACTTCAATCAATTTAAAATAAATCAAGCTTAATATAATTTGGGTAACAATGTTTATTATTTTTTTAGAAATATCATTTACTTATTTTAAAAGAATCTCTTAAACCCCTCCTAAATTAATTAAAAACATGTCAAACCGGGTTGACTTTGGGTTTCTGAGTCAACCCGAATCTCACCCGATTTTACAAATGGGTCAAAATTCCTAACCTGAATTCAACCTGGTTCGGGTTCCAGTTGACCCGAACCCAAAATTTTCGGATCGGGTCAAATATTGACACCCCTAGTTGTACATAATCTAAAACCTAGTGTAATATAGTGCCTTGATGGAGAAGTAGGAGAGCATTTAGACATTTTAATTCCTTCAAGCTTCATTTAATTGTTTAACTAGATAAATATAGTAATTTTATTAAGTAGTACTAGAGTGAGCTTAGCATAATTGTAATCCTCGTGGAAATGATACTAATCTCATCACTATATTACTTAATACGACAAATTTAGTTATATTGCACAAGAATTACATCTTAAAATAGTAATAATAATTAATAGACTAAGCAGTGTGGAAAATAATATAGGTCACCTGTAATCCTTGATCAAGCTGCAGGAAAATCACACATATTTCTAATATTAGGAATGCCCTCTATTTAAGAATGTCCTCACCTTCTGGCAGTCTTTTGAACTTTATATCAATTACACAGACTTTTTTTTTTTCAAAATCTTCCTCTAATGCTCTATTGCTTTGCAAAATATTGGGATTCTCATTTGTAACCCCTCTTCAATTATTTAGGCATGTGTGTTGCTACTTCTATGCTTAATTTAGCCACATCTTGTGGATAAGAATAGGCTCATTCTTGATGGTAGAGAAGCAAAATATTTTTCTTTGATTAGGAGGTTCCAGTTACTTAGATTTAAAATCACTAATTTGATTAATTATTAGGCCCTTGTTCTTTGTATCACTATTGGCTGCATTTAACTTCTTAGTAGTTGCTACTTTCAATTTCTCTATCATGGCATATCTATGGGGAAAATTTTTAAAAAGTATCCTTGGATTCTATGCTTCTCAAATATTTAAAGGTGAGCTTGGATTATAATCTATACATAATCTTCCTATTGACAAGGCTTTGGCATATTTACCATTTTGTTTTTCTATTAGGTAAGTGGTTTAAATGCATGCATGATTATGTTTGGAATTTTCAAAAGGCTCTAATATATCTTACTCTTAAAAATGCCTTCTCAAAGTCTCTTCTTTTTGAAGCCCCAACCTTATTGCATCCTCTAATGGGCTTGCTTGGTGAGGCCTTTTGAACCTAGCTCTTAACAACTTCTATGATGCTAAGTACTCTAGTAGTATCGATGTTAATGGGTTAAATTTAATTTGATATCGTAAATACATCTTGCGCTATTTGATTTACACTTGATTGACCATTATAGCGAGTTTGAAGGCGGTTTATCTTCTTGTTATCTGCAAAATTTTAAATCCCCTTTATGTTGTTTATGCAATAATGTGAATGAATTGACACCCCATGTCTTTTTGTCTTGCTCCCTCATAAACATTATTCTCATAAGGTAGCTACCCTTAACTGTCACTATTCTTCATAACACCTCTATTCTACAAATTTTAGAGCATGTGGTCCTAAGTGAAATTTCTTCTTACTCTCCATTTGCTATACAGTTTATTACTTGTGATGTGTAAGAGGAAATTACAAGTTGGGAATGATATTGCTAGCATATATTCCATTTAAGTTAGTATAAAGTGGGCCATCAAAGCAAAAATTAAGGAATGGAAGCATGGGCTCGGATTACTCATGGGATCAATGACTTTTTTGTTAGAATGAGGGAATTTTCGCTTGTATTGATTTAGACAATGATATTTCTGGCCCCTTGACTATGTCTATTTTTGGATGCATCTTCTTCAAGATATTCTCTGCTTAATCACTATTATTTGTGCTGCAACCATATAAAGCCACACTCTAACACCCAAACTTTTGCTTTGAATAACTAAAGCTTCACCATTTTTGTTCCATGGATTTTTTCCCTTGTCCTGATAGGGTTTTTTTTCTTTGGTATATTTCTTCTATAATTGTCACTACAGGAAAACACTTATTACCGTTGGATTTTCCGGCCGGAAAAATTTGCGTCGGTACATGACGGCGCCTGTAAGCGGCGCATATGCGAAGAAATTTTACGGCATTTTTGCCGACGTCTACTGCGTCGGTAAAGACGTCGGAATATACCAGCATTTAAAGGTTTCGGCGCACTTTACACGGAAATAGCCGGCGCGTTATCGGCAGATAATACGCCGACGTTTTAAAATCAACGACTTAAAACCGGAGCATTATTGCACCAGAATTGTTTCCGGCGTCCTGGACGCCAAAAATTTCCGCCAGCGAAAACCCTGTTTCCGAACACAAGCACCTATGGCCTGCTCATTTCTTCGTTCGTTTCTCTCACATCTGCGCGTTTCCCTCGTCGCCCTCCGCGCGCCGTAGATCGAGGTCGCCGAGCTCTCTTGACCGGTCACCGGGACATCGCGACGTCATAGCCTTCCTCGCCGGCAAGAGCTCCATTTTCGACCGCAAGTTTCCGCATTTCCCCTCCCGTCGATTGTAATTTTTTTTTCATGAATTTCTTTGCGATTTCATGCGGGAGATCATT